AACCAATCATTTTTCGTTTTGCCCTCAGAACGTTTTTGTGTAAGTTAAACTCCCACACCCTTCATCTCCTCAACGACAGAGGAGATTTCCAGATAATCTTTTATATGTATTCAGAGTAGAGAAACTTATTGCTTGTTGGAAGTTAACACCAAGCTACAAAATGAATGACCCCGCTATTCATTCGGTGAATTCTTTTTTGATTTAGGGCTTGATCAGGGTCTGACACATCTCTGAGGTGCTGCGTGGTCGTTTCAGCATGTAGGCTTACTCCAGCGGTAATCTCGGCGCCCATGTGCGAGAGAGCCGGCTTTCGGGCATGACCTGGTGATGCAAGAGGAGAGTGTGATGAATGGCTGGGACCAAGGAAGGGTATCTGCGCAGGAAGAAAGAAATGAGGTCGTTATCTTTTCTCTAACCTGTGCGCTCACTGGTGCTTCCTGGTGCCTGTTGGCGACGGCGCAAGTAAAACTTGATCCAGATCGTTTCTTTAAAAATTTTTGAAGGAATGCTGCCTCTTTATTCTTCCCTCTGCATGTGCCATTTTTTGACAAAAACTGCCTAAAAGTCTGTATTTCAAATTTAATAGCCCTAACATACCCCAGCTTCTTGCCCCCGTTCCCACATCTTGAGCTCATACTTCACATTTTTGCCCCAGGGATGTTTGCGTTTTGTGTGATGTTATCATGCGCTATCAGCTGCCAGGACACTAACCCCCATCGTTCTTCGTTATGGCTCGTCTCTTGTTGCCTCTCACATCCATGACACGGCCTCACCCCCACGCCCCACGGTATCTCCCGCCTGACAGTCTGCCCCGATCGGGCCGGGCCAGTTCCGTTGCCCCATTTCCCCCTTTGGCCCGTTCTCCATCTGAACCGGCGGACCAGAGAAATTGCCTCTTATCCAGGGGTCGATTTTCCATGTGCTTGTAAATTGCTTTGTATTGACACGCTGTCAGGATGGGATCGTCACGTTAGTCTGCGCCATCCCTCTGGAGTTGGGCGGGGGTGCTTGAATTAGAGAGGGATTGCGTTTCTGCTAAAAAGGGGAAATGAAATTGTTGGTGGGGGTGTTAGAAAGTGATGTTGCTGAGGAATGACTGTTGTTATAATTGGACCTCTAAGACCGGACTTTGTTTTAAGGCTGCAGTTGCATTACACACAGTATTATTCTGTCTTATGCACTTACCTGTACACATCCAAAGACCAGTGGCCTTCTGTACTGGGGTCATTTCTTTTTCACCACTCCAGGTGGCCTTGTGACACTTAATACTTTCCATAATACAAGTGTGTAATATCTCTGTCACCTGGCATCTTTTTTCCTTTTGCTGTAGGTGAAGTTGTATTTAACATATGACTATTACACACAATTTACACCTGACATATTTGTTGTTTTCCCACCTTGTTACTGCTAAATTAAATGAATGATAAAACAATTAATGACCTGCTGTATGATTAGTTAACTTAATTAACATGGTGTTGGGTGGCCATGTACGTTAAAAGCTATTAATAAATCTGCATGCATCCACACACCCTCTGCGATAGCTACTTATCCAGTAGAGCAGTGTTTCTCAACAGCCGGTCCACGTTTTTGTTCCCTCCGAGCTCCCTGTCAGACAGTCCACATTTTTACCCTACCGGGATCTGGGAGGGAGCGAAAACATGGACAGTCTTTGAGTCCTCAAAGTCCGGATTGGAAAACACTGCAGTAGAGGATTGCAGTGAACCTGTCACAGAAAGCACTAGGCATCAGACAGGAGACACCCTGGATGTCAACAGGATTCCTTGTGAATAGGCTTCCAGTTGAAGTGAAGTGATTATCCTCCATGACTTTACTCTGCTTTGGCTGTGATCTTCCTTGGTCTTCCTCTTCCGCTCTACCACCTGATACTGCTAGATTGCTGGCTTTTCCTTCATTCTGCAGTTTCCCTGGTTTCCTTCTCACATGGGCTGAAAAAGGCCCTTTAGCAAATGGTCTATTAAAGTGTTTCCTTACTCCACAGCCTGGTGTAATTGCTTGTTCCGACATCTGGACTGCTTGCGTTATTGCCCTCTAGCATCAAAGCTCACAGTAAACCCTGTGGAGATGTTGCTGCTTAGGTGGTCTGGATCAAATTCAGTCCCTCTATCTCTCACTTTTTTGCCACGTTCATCAGAGACATACTGGTTTGATCTACAACCAGAGCTCAGGTTGCTGTCACTCCAAAAGTTGTAACACGCTTCTTGATCTGAAAATTCCCTGTGGATTGATTTTGCCCTCTCTGTAATAATAAGTAAACACTGCATTTTCTTCATTTGTGCACTCTTGTGTAATCTCTGTTTCAGCCACACTGGCGTTGTTGGGCATCGCAGTGTAGATGTGATGTCACTGCTGCAGAAATTGGTGCACAAATTCACCCTACATCATCAGAACAACTCATCTGCTAGTCTGTAGGTTACCTCTTTGTTTGTTTTTGACTATCTTGACCTTCTTATAGGTGCTGAACAGCGCTAAAATATGGCTAAGGTTTGTCATGGATATGATTATGGACAGTTTTAGTCATTAGGAATGTCATACAACAATTTAGTTGCAAATGGTACAACGATACTTTGGTTTAAAATAAAAACTATGTGACATGCGATGTTGTGCTCTAACGAATAGGGGTAAACTCTATTACACTTTATTACGTCTTGCTTTTGCCTTGTCACTAGAATGTAAAACACCGCCCCCTGCTGCTGGAAAATAATTACTTCTTAAAACAGATTGTTTGAAGTTTGATCCTTTCCAGTCATCCAAAAATCAGAGAAGACATGCACAGACTAGTTACCCACCACTTAATATGCAAAATGAAGTTTTGGAAACGGGCTGTTAATATATGATGCTGATTTAATGTTATTATTATTATTATTGCTGTGGGTTTATTTAAATGGTTACATATTATCACCAACAGGGGTACATTTCCAAGATCAGCTGGTCCGCATGCAGAAACTTAAACGGTGTGGTAGTCGGGGTCTGACGTTCATACATTGGATTATAACGTTAAAAATGCTGCATACGATACGTAAGGAACGTCATTGTTTAAACATCTTCATATTTAGCTAGCCTTTGGCTAGGCTACGCTCGAGCTGTCGTTGTTTTTGTCATTGTTAGTGGACCGGGATTGTGGGAATGCAAAAATAAATAACCCATCCATTACTATATCGTGGCCAGGGGGACCCTACCCATATACGACGGCATGGGGTTTGGTACACCGTAGATGGGTTATTAGCCCATTCTTGCATGGCAGTAGCGCAAACCCTGCGATACATTACTTAATTTTGTCTTCCAAATAGGGACGCTCATTTTCAGTAATCCAACTATCCATCATTTAGCGCACAGAGCCGGGACTCCCAGATGGGCATGAAAATAACCGCAGTCTAGCACTGTATATTTAGCAGGCTGTCTCGTCATCTCGTAAAATGCTTTTTAAAATTAGAATATAACAATGTCTCTTTTGCCGGCATGAAAATAACATGCTATACAAGTTCTGTAAAGAGCAGGGGAAATTCATTCTCATTCATTCATGTTCGTATTTTTGGGAACATTTTCTTTTCAGGCTTAACGCACTCTTTCCCGAAACAATGGATTTGCTGCTCCTTTTAAAACCATTAATTAAAATATGCGCGTGGGTGTCGGTCACGGAACTCTCGCCAAATTAGCCGCAGGTATTTTATATAATAATAATAATAATAATAATAATAATAATAATAATAAAAGGCGTAAAAACAAACAAACACAAATTTAACTTGCTGCTATAACATTAACCTTATTAACATGTGCAATTGCTTAATCATTGTGTCATTTAGTTCGTAGTCTGTTATTTGCATAGTTCCGTTTATTTAGCTATTTGCATATTTTGGTTACAAACATGATTCATACAGTTTAATGTATGCCTTAAGTATGTCTTATGCCAGCCGTGCATTGTATCCATATTAGGCTTGTTTTTATTGGCCTCTGGAGTTTGCCACTTAGCAGATTTATATTTTATGAACTGCAATCACCACGCAAGTTCGTGTTATGTTTTATACATACATAAAACCGAGTGTTATTTGGGTCGTATATAACACGTACGAGCTTGTTGCTGTCAGATGCCTCGGTTCTTAGCATCAGCTGTGGTGATCACGTATTAAAGGGGTCTGCCGTATGCTTTTGTCTGGAAGGCTGGGAGAGAGACAGGGGTGGAAGCGAATGAAAGGGGATCTCAGACATACGCATGTGTGTCTTTGTGTCCCCCGCATTCATTACACACAACAAAGGGCCGCAGTTTCATTTACCCTGCTAGTTTGCATTTGTCAGCCCCTTCCTTTGGCTCTGAGCAGCATTCGCAGTACCCAGAGGCTCACAACACCCTCCTCCTCTTCAGCGGCGAGTCGGGAGGGGCGGCGAGTCGGGAGGGCCAGCGATGCCCAGAGTCGCTTGCAAATCGCACTGCTGCCTGGCGAGGCAAACGTGCTGGGCTGCCTGCATCCCTTCCTTTGCTTGTCACAGCTCCAGAAAACACTCATTTATTAGCAAACGTCTGTCACTGGAAAACAGTCCTACCGAAAACCTGGGTACTCCCCAGTGAAATCTGTTTGGATATTTCCAGGGCTGGGGGTCACATTACCATATCCGTAGAAGTGGTGGACTCTCTTTCGCAAATAAAAAAATATGTAAATCTCTGTAAAGGAAATCACGAGGAATATGAAGGAACCACTGTTATGCAGCCCTTGTCTGATGGCTGATGTCTGTTGTAAGTGTTGCTTCTGAACTCTCGGTGTTAAAACATCCAAGCTGCCTGTACAGTTGTCCTCGGACATAAGCTCTTCCGTGTGTCTGACAGGCAAACCTGCAATTAAAGGGCATGTGAGATCGTGCTTTTTTTCCCCGACGAGCATTCGACAATACTTCCATTATTCCCTCGAGCTGGTGGAACAAAAATTGTTTTGAACCTGACACTCGCCCCTAAGCCAGGAGACACCAGAAATGAAGAGTCATCCCGCTTTGAGAGAAATTCAGAACGGCAATAAGGAGAGTATAAATGCGAGATGCGGGGAACCTCATGCTCAGTGAGAGCAACTGAGCGCGAGGCTTCCTGCTAATGTAGCTAGACCAAATGTGAGTGTTAAAAGAAGCTACTGTATGAAATTTTAATGAGGTTCAGTTTTCAGAATAAGATTCATTTTCTGTCTGAAGGCTGGTTCTTAGTGCTGTGATCCCATTTCCTTGTCTTTCCTGTTTTATTTTCTCCTTGTGTCAGCCTTTAGATGAGAGAAGAGCTTTGCAATCCTAAGTGCCATTCGATGCAAAAATGGTCATTATTGTTCCCGCAATTGTCCCATAACCTTTCTGGAATCGCCATGCCTCTGCAGTCTTCCATCTTTGTCAGGATAATGGTCACGTCACATTTACCCTGCAGTCACCTGGACAGTTAGGACCTGCGATGAGCGTCTTTCGAACTTCAGCACACTTGGGGAGTACTTACTGTGAAGAATCCAGATCTTTTTTGATTACAAATGTCACTTCTAATCAAAGCATGTATCCATATCCATTTCAGGCTGTATTTAATTTCTCCATCTGACCTCATCTCCAAAGCTCTTTACCAGGGAGTGGAGGGAGGAAAGCTGGCCCACAGCAGAGAGACATACTCATAAGATCAAACAGTTCAGAGACATTTGGACAAATGGAAGATTAAAAAAAAAAATGATTCACACAAACATGGTTGAACATGCCAACTACACGCAGAGAGCCACCCTTGCTGTGCTGTTCACAAATATTCTCATTTTTTCCATGAATTCCTTTCAGCCGTGAAGTTTAAAAATTTTCCTGAGCCCGTTTCAGTGTGATGTTGGTAAAGAATCTGTTCAGCCTTTGATTCCATTGCTTTTCATGACTGTAAATGTGCACTCACAAGCGCACGTGACAATTTCAGTAGCATAATTATCAGATCTTTTCCCCCCTTCTTTCACACGTGAGGAGTGATGAATTACATGCTGGCGGAAAATCTGTGTTTTTGATATTTAAGATTGTTGTGTCGTAAGTGTAGAACCCTTCATTTCTTGGTTATCCTGAAGCTTGGCCTTGGGGGTATTAATTATTATTATTATTATTATATTAATTATTAATTGTAAATATACATTAAAACCTAAATGAATTGCAGGAATAACTACTTTTAGTAAAAAGGCTGATCTCCCCAAGCAACAAAACTATTGTATTACAGTTGATTTAGACCTCTTTAAAAATGCCTTTTTAAAAAATTAATCTCTACAAAAAAAGTTTGTTACACCATGATTTGTACATTTTTATGCCATTTAAGGTAAATC